GAAATTCAGGGTACAATTAAGATTCAGTATTATGATTAAAGATTCTGTGAAGAAAGCCTTACACTAGGGTAAATTATACATGCATCAAGTAAATAGAAATGTACCAGTGAAACTTCTTAAAACATATCCTGCTTCTAACCTTGCTGCACAAAGCTATTTGGCGGTTAATAAAAATGAACATCTAAATATTCCACACTGAAGGATGCTCAGTAGGAAGGAAAACAACCTTTTATCATATTTTCTTGATTTTAGAATGATTTGTTTAAATATTTAAATTAATAAGCACCAGCAGAGATAAATAATTGTTTAAGATTATTCCGGATGTAACAACATTGCTTCTTCTAGCTGCAAACCTTCTGAGACTAAAGATAAAATTGGCTTACTATGCATGTCTCACACATTGTGTGACACAGACTGGAAAACACTTTTCTAAGAGCATTTACAGACAGTGCTGTTGGCAACAGAAGAAAATACTGTATCTTATTCACAGAATCCATATGGATCTGAACTACAGTGAGTTTATTAATTGTTTTGCATGAGAAACTAATGGCTTCAAATCTTCTGTGTCTTTGTGATGTTCTGTATGAGGAGTTCTAGGCCCCTCCTGTCTTCTGAGAGGTCCATTGAACAGACATCTGAAAGTACTGTAGTGCATTCACACCAAGACCTATGTATACATGCAGGAGGGCTTACAGATTTGGGGGGGAGGGTCACAGCTCCATATTCCTGCAAGAGGTGGGGCTGGCCAGAGCGCATTTTACCGTTCCCCTCAGAGCTGCCCAGAGTGTGTGGTGCTCTGGCAACAATTTAAAGGGCCCAGGGCTCCGTCCCGCCACCACAACACCCTTCTCCCCCCAGTCAGCAAGACTGCGTACATGCTTTGTCCTTGACAATGCGTCTGTCATATTAGCAGACAAATAAGTTATCTGGAAACTAAGAGTTCTGAGTTAATCAGGAAGGTTTAAAAAATCATGATCATTTGTGGGGAAGTGAAGCTACGGGAAATGACTTTTGCTATTATTGGACTAGTTCACTTGACAAAATGAACATGATTTTGTAGCTGATGAAAGTCTAGTAGTTTTAATAGTATTCCCATGAGTTACCTAAATAAAAAAAGGAATAGCCTGATTAAGATCAAAAGTCTACGTCCTAGCATTGCTCTGATTGTGCTACCAAGTTGCTTTGGTATGAAGTTATAATGCCAAGCCACCGAATGGATGAGCCTCTGTTTTAATGCCAAGAAGGGCACCTCCCTTCATGCTGACAACGGCATCAGGGATTTAGCCCAGACGATGCAGTTCCCGATCCAGGGAAAACCCACGGCCTACCTCAAGGAGGGACAAGTATACCAGCACCTGGACACACCCACAGGAGTCTGCAACCAACAGACTCCCAAAGACACCTCATAGAGATCCTGCAAAATGCAGCTACTGTCAACTTCTCCCTGCTTCACCCCCTGGCAAAAGATCAATGCTGTCAACACCTTCCTGATCCCCCACATCTAGTTTGTTTTCAGGAGATCGTTCATGACCAAGATACCCCTGAACAAGGCAGACAGTACCACGAGGCAGCTGGGGTCAGGAAACGGCTTTTCTTCCCACAGAGGCCAGCACCAATATCCATATACACACAGGCAGGGCAACAACAATGTGCCTCAGATGGGTGACCTATGAGATGTGGTGGTAATCACCCATGCCTTTTGCTTCCTGCCCAGAACCGATGGAGAGAAGCATCTCAGGAAGCACCTTGCAGGACATGGTCAAGAAATTTATCACCAGGATCCTTTCCAAGCAGAACATCACCATGTACCCCAGTGGCTCCCTGGAGGCTGAGTTTGGGAGGGAGTGCGGAGACCTATACTTGTTTTGGTCCCACACATGCAACGTCTCGCAATGCCTAGCAAAGAGAATTGGCTGCCGCTGGTGTGGTGCGAGGAGCTGGGAGTCCTGATGCCATGCATAAACCATCACCACCCCAACTGACAGAATGATGTTCTTGAGTTGTAAAGGTGGCCTCCACAGAGTTGTCTGCTGGCAAACAGATTGGGTGGGGTATGGATTATTTTGTTATCTGCACAGCAAATTACCTACAGGGCCTATCTTAAGAATTAACCGTTGGGGGATGAAGACAATGAATTGGTGCACTGGGTTGCTGCATTTAAAAAGAAGTTACACACAGACAGAAGCAGGTGATGACAATTCTATTAAATACACTGCCGAGTGTCAATGACTGTTAAATATTGACACACAAATGAACAGCTTCAATAGAAGTCCCACAGCAAAAGAATTCCATAACCCCACCCTTCAAAAGGGAGACTTCTGTTTAAATTCTCTCCTCCCTTCTGGGAAATGAACCCTGATCCCAGGTCCACTTCCTCCTCTCCCTCCAACTTATTTTGAATGGGACCCAATACAAAAGGCACCTTCTGAGCACACCTACCAGAAGTGGCCTCCCACGCTACACTACTGAGCTACCAAATCAACATGGAAAATGTTCACTATAGAATTAGCTAGTCTTTATCTAATTAATGTCATTTAATGACATTTTTCCACACATTGTGAAGCACCCATTCTTCAGTGAAGACTTATATAGGTCAGATATAAAGTTTTAAAAAACCCTTTGTTCAATAGTGGTGTTTAAACTGTTAGTGAAATCCCAGGGGAATGGTTTTTCTTTATGTTCTTTCGCCCCTCCACCCCCCAGCAAATGAAGAGTAGGAAAAATGTTTGAAAGAAACAAAAATTAACCTCTTTTTTGGATATGCTTGCCACTGATATTATCACCGCTCTGAAAGTAGTTTCCAGCTGACAGCCACCAGCTTGAGCTCATATTTTGTTTTTGTGATTTCAAAGTAACAGTTTACATTAGAACCCTGGGCAGACACCATCACACTACACCAAAGAAGGTTTAATTCAGAACCAAATTATTTCATAGTTTTCTAGAATACAGGGTGGCAAAAGGATTATATGGTATCAAACGTCCCTTTACCCCTTACCATCGTCACACCTGCTCCTGATAAAGAAACAGAAACCAAATACAATATTTGTATTATAGAGCTTTCCTTAACATAAATGAGTTTTACTATTGTCAGTTTGCCCTATCTAATACCATTTGATGTTCATAGAATCATAGGGTTGGAAGAGATCTCAGGAGGTCATTGAGTCCAACTCCCTGCCTAAAGAAGGATCAACCCTAACTAAACCATCTCAGCCAAGGCTTTGTCAAGCAGGGACTTAAAAACCTCCAGAGATGGATATTTTAATACCTTCCTAGGTAACCCATTCCAGTGGTTCACTGCCTTCTTAGTAAAATAGGTTTTCCTAATATCCAACCTAGAGCTCTCCCACTGTAACTTGAGACCAACTCTTCATTCTGCCATCTGTCACTACTGAGAACAGCCTCTCCCCATTCTCTTTGGAACCTCCCTTCAGGTAGTTAAAGGCTGCTATCAAATTCCCTCTCACTCTTCTTTTCTGTAGACTACATAAGCCCAAATCCCTCAGCCTCTCCTTGTAAAGCATGTGCTCCAGCCCCCATATCATTTTTGTTGCCCTCCGCTGGACCCTCTCCAATGCATCTACATCCTTTCTGTAATGGGGGGGGCAGGGCCTAGAATTGGACTCAATACTCCAGATGTGGCCTCACCAGTGCCAAATAAAGGGGAATAATCACCTATCTAGGTCTGCCGGCAAAGCTTCGCCTAATGCACTTCAATATGCAGGGAACACCGACTCCTATCCAGCTTTTCATCCACTAATGTCCAGTTCCTTTTCTGCCTAACTGCTACTTAGCCAGTCGGTCCCCAGCCTGTAACAATTCTTGGGATTCTTCTGTCCCAAATACAAGACCCTGAACCTGTCCTTGCTGAATCTCACGAGATTTCTGTTGGCCCAAGCCTCCAATCAGTCCTTCATGACAAATTCATTTTCAGTGAGATACCGCTAGTTTCTTGTATCTAGAGCAAAGTAACTTGATTCCCCGAAAAAGCAATTTAATGTGGCAGAACAGCGAAAGGAGGTTCTGTTTTATCTCTAGTTGTTTAGATAATTAATCTTCTTCAGGTCTTAAAGTCTTGAGTGCCTCTGAACAATAAAACACATTTTTTAAATGAATGATTAAAACACCTCTAAAAAGGTTAGTTAGTTACATTTTTAAATCAGTCATCTAGAGTAACTGTGACCATTCTTTTCCTTTTCCATTCTCCAACTGCTCTTGGTGTTAAACCTTTTTCCTCAAGCAGTTACTTTTTCAGTATCTTATTGCTTCTCACATAAAAGATTGAAAAATTATAGCCACAATTTTATGTCTGTAAACTTTATTTTTAAACACACACCATTGGATTTTTTTCCAATATGTAGAGATTTCAGTGAATAACATATTGTATATTCTTCTGCAGCAAACAAATGTGTCTTATTAAAGCTGGCCAGAAAATTGTTTTCCAGAGAGACAGAGAGAGACTCAGATTACAATCCCTGCTGTGCCTGACTGAAGCAGAGACTTTGAACCCAGGTCTCTTGCATGTCAGGAAAGTGCTCCAAACACTGGGTTGGAGGCAATCTCTCCTGTTAGAGATGTTCCACTTTTTAGAAATAAATATTCAATGAGAGAGAATGACTCTATAGCCCATGGTTTGGGCACTCAACTTGATTTGAGATACCTAAAGCCAAGTCCTGTAGCAGGGATTTTAACATGGATCTCTTGACATGGTATGTAATGCCATACAACCAGGCTACTGGGTATTCTGGGGAGGCTCTGTCCATCCCACCCTCCCTCACAGAAATTCCATTTAGGACTTAAGAAACTTTCCAGACAGAAGTTTCATTGAAACTAACCCTTCTAGAGAAAATTTTTTTGTTTTTCCTGAATTGGTTTTTTTTTGTTTTTAAAGTTTTGTAAAAAAAATCCCAACCAGTTGTGGTATATATAGGCTCTTAAATGTGTGAGTATGGCACATGGTCCATTCCATGGATACGTTTAGGTTTTCTATTCTAGATACACACCTTGTGTGAGAAGGCCTCAAGTGGAATATTGTGTCCATTGATGGGCATCGTACTCCAGGGAGAGATGTACAAGGGAAATGTAGATTAGACATTAGGAAAAACGTCCTAAATATAAAGATAGCTAAGCAATGGAACAAATTATCTAAGGAGGTTGTGGAATTTCTTTCATTAAAGAGCAGGTTAAACAAACACCTGTGAGGGATGGGGTTGGAGGGTTTCAGTGCAAGAGACTGGGTTAGATGACCTATTGGGGTCCCTTCCAGTCCTATATTTCCATTATATTGTGTGCAGACAACATACAATTGTAAACTTTTTTATTACTTTAAAAAGAGAATAGGTGAGAACCTCCACATCTGTCCCACCTCCTCCATTCCTGTTTGCAATAAAGTAGTACACACTAAGCTCATGCTTACTGCAAAGTTTTGGCAAAACCATTACTAGTTTAACAGAAGCAATTTCTGAGAAAGCAGCAGACAATTATCTTAGAAGAGGAGAAACCCTATCTTTTCTTTTTATTCCCTCATCACCCTTTTCCTAGTTTCCAATTTTCCCTCACTCACCCTGAGCAACGCTGGAGCATCCTCAGCAAAACTAACAGCCTCATTAAATACATCCACAAGAGCTCAGTCTTACTTCCCAGAACCACGGACCCCAAACTGCAGCTGGCATTTATTAGTTACATTGATTCTTTCTGGGGATGTTAAATTGAGAGTAATTAACTAATCAAATAGTCAATGCATTTTGCATCGACTATTCGATTAGTCAATAGGGCCCCTCTGCCTTTGAAGTGTAGGGCTGTTGCTACACTTCAAAGGTTAAAGCGCCTGTGGAGCCCAGAGTCAACTGGGCACTCTCCTGCTGACCCTGGGCTCCACACGGCGCTGCCACTTTGAAATGCTGCGGGGAGCCCAGCATTTGTCTCCTCGTGGCATTTCGAAGCAGCAATGCCACATGGAGCCTGGGATCAGCTGGAGACTCCCCCACTGACCTTGGGCTCCATGCAGTGCTGCCGCTTTGAAATGATGCGTGCAGCCTGGGGACACCCAAGCTGACCCCGGGTTGCATGCATGACCCCCAGGTCTGGCCCCAAGCTCCGTGTGATACTGACACTTAAGTACCCTCTCCTCTTCCCCTCCTTGCTGCCTCTTTCTGATAGAGGCAGCTGGGGGGACAGAGAAGCAACTACCAGTAGTCGACTAGCCTGTCAACTATCCAATAAGCATTTGCCTATCAGATAGTCTAGTTGACTAGCCCTTCACATCCCTATTTCCTTCACTTCAGCTTTGCACGTCTCAAAAGTATTAACGTAACATAGCATGTTGCTCACCCTCACAAATGTTCATGAAAGCATGCCGTAAGGAAGATTGTTATATTAATGAAGTAAGTACTACTGAGGTGTGCAAACACTAACAACCTATTTATGCAGTATTCTTTGAGGATGAAAACATATTTGCTTCATCACTTTATTAATAAATTGACAGTGACATTTGTCAAGCAAATCACATCCGTGTTATAACATGTAGCAACAGACAACTTGTATTTGGATGCTCTCCATAAACATCATTAGTAAACAACTAAAAGGTCACACTTTGTATTACATATGTAAACAGTGATACGTTGATAGTTAGCTATTCTAGTTCTGAATTCTATTAAGCCCCATGCACTGGCTATCAAGCTCTGCGCAGGAGCTCAGGGCTGCAACAGTGAGAGATGCTTCTCCCCAAGCCTCAAAGCTGCCTCTGAGACAGAGAAGTCACAGAACTGCTTTCCGCTGGTCGCAGAACAGAGCAGCATTGCTGGCCTCCGCATAGAGAAAAGTGACCAGCAGCAGGTCCAGCTCCAAGGCGGGGGGCCACAGGGCTCTGCGCACTGCCCCAACCCTGATCACTGGCTCTGCACTCCCACTGGCCGGTTCCTGGTGGCTACTTCACTAGGTCAGGTAGGTGCTGGGCAGGCTGCCTTAGTACCATTGATGAGGAGCTGCCCAGTAAGTCCATGCAACTCTCTCACCAGCTTCTCCCCAGGGCGAGCAGGGGCCATACTGGCTGGCTGGCAGCTATTCATCAGGGAAGGCCAGAGCTGTGCTGTAAGCCAGCAGCTGCTCCCTGGAGCTGGAGCTCTTGCTGCCCTCTGTGGTCATTCATGAGTATAACTGTCCCTGCTATCACATCTCTCTCTTTTTGTTTGATGAGAAACAATCACATCTCATGCACATCCCATTGTCCAGGCACAATCAAACCCTGACCTTGCTTTACGTTATACGAGGAAGATGCCTACCAAATTTTGTGGTCCTAAATCTTACTGTTTTGGAGGAATTCTTGAATAAACAGATCCACAGATGGATGGTCACGCAGACAGACAAAAACACAAACTCTCTCAAATATACAGTAGATAATGAAGTACAAACCAGGGTTTCTTATCTTGCCGGTCTTTCAGGCAGTTACAGTTCAGAGAATCTCAATGAAATCTACAAACTCAATCCTGGATGAAGAATGTCATGTCAGTAGTTTTAAAGCTATTGAATATTTAAAAGTGGAATGGCCCAGAGTTTGACAATCCAAACATTCTTAAAGTAAATTGGTAAAGATCAAAAGATTTCTTTACATTTTTTGAACTTGAATTAATCTATAGATTATGTAAGTACAGTTGTGTGGTCCTTTGCTGCTTTTTAGAAAGATTAAATAGACAGATATAAACATCTCCCAATAGCCCATTTTGGTTGTGCACCTTAGCATAATCTGATGGCTCTGACTCATATGATCTTGTTACCTTCACTGTTGTCAGAACCAGCATCCCCCCCCCCATTTGAATTTTGGTTCAGATTGGCAGGTCACACCTGAAAACTCTGGTCTATTCAATTTCAAATGTTTATAACTCGGTATCAGAAAAGTGAGTTCAAACTTGGAATGTTTTATAGATCTCACAGAGTTTCAAACCTGGCCACATCTGAATGTACTGTGCATACATTCCAGTCTATTTTTTTTAACCTATGGAATTAAAGATCTAAGAGTTGATGAAGATATAAAACAAGGGAAACTATATGTGAAGATATAAGCACAAGGGAGCAGAGTTAAGGTTGAGTTTTTTACTTGAACTGATTTTTCCTGACTTCTGACAGCTTGATTTTTTAGATTCTGGCACACTCCTGCACATGCCTAAAGAACATTGTACTTCCTACTGTGAAAAATTCCTCTGGGCTTGTGGTTGGGGGTCTAAGGCTGCTGTGGGAGAGAGGATGCTTATGACAGAGATGCTTCTTCTCTCCCTACCCAACATACACACCCAGCATAGCACTGCTTCCACATCTAGCAACACCATTTCCTTTGCCCAGGGCTTTGCATGTAAGAAGAGAGTATGGACATGGGAGTGCTCCATTATGATTGGCTATGGGGCAAGAGAAGGTTGAACAGAAGTAGGGCAACCAGAGGAGTGAAAAAGGAAGCAAAATTCTTCTTTCCTCTTTCCAGGCTTTTGCTGAGATCTAGGCTTTTGCTGAGACCATGTCATTTTGTTGTGATTTTTTCTCCTCAACCAGGTGGATGTGATCCACATCCAGACCATGCTCTGCCATTGAGTAGCATCATTCTAGATGCCTAACTTGGGCTTTAGGAACAAGATATATACATCCAACTTGAAAGCCTCACTCATTCCACATAAAAGCAGTCATGTAGCACTTAAAGACTAACAAAATAGTTTATTACTTTGATGAGGTTTCGTGGGGCAGACTTACTTCTTCAGATCATATTCTGAAAGCGAATAGGCATGACTATTTTATAACAGAGGAATACAATGAAAGAAGGTTAAAAAAATTACAAACTAACAAATCAGCTACATAGAAGAGAAGGTGGGAGCGGGGGGGGGAGAGGGGGAAGCGACAAGGAAGGAGGAAATTGCTACTGTAAGAGCCAATTAAGTGGCTAATCTGGGGTGACTACGAATATCAAAAGGTGGGGAGGCTGTCTTTGTAATGTGTAAGATAATGATCTCTATTAAGGTGTCGAATTTTCGCATAAATAAAAATTCTGAGGTCTCCCTTTGTAATCTGGTTTTCAAAGTCTCTTTGATCTAAGATGCATGTTGTCAGGTCTTTAAGAGAATGATCAATTTGATTGAAATGCTGGCTGTCAGGTTTGTATGTGTGGAGATTTCTGATGTCTGATCTGTGAAAATTATTTTTTTGGTGTAGTGTCTGTCTAGTTTGTCCAATATACATTACAGAGGAGCATTGTTGGCACATGATGGCATATATCACATCGCTGGATATAAAGGAATATGAGCCCTTAATCGTATAACTGACAAGGTTAGGTCCAGTGATGGTGTCTCTAGAGTAAATATGTGGACAATCTCTTGCAACAAACCTCGTTGCTAGCTAAGTTCCAGGGTTAGTTTTATTGTGCTATGCCTTGGGTTGTTAGTGAGAATCTTCCTGAGGTTAGGTGGTTGTCTATAGGAGAGTATAGATCTGTCACCCAGAGCCTCTTGGAATGTAGCATCATGTTCCAGTATAGGTTGTAGGTTATTGATAATGTTTTGGAGGGGTTTGAGCTGAGGGCTATAGTTGATGACAAGAGGTGTTCTATTGTTGATTTTCTTAGGCCTTTCAAGAAGTAGCTGGTTTCTGGGTATTCGTCTGGCCCTTTCAATCTGTTTTTTCACTTCCCCTGGTGGGTAATTGAGATTTACAAATGCTTGGTAGAGATCTTGAAGTTTTTGGTCTCTGTCAGTGAGATTGGAGCAGATGTGGTTGCATCCAAAGGCTTGTTCATATCACAGTTTTGAAAATGGTGAAAGGTTTCTGGAAGTCATGGAGATACATCCTTTCACATTAGGAAGAAATTAAAAAGATTGTGTGTCTGAAGAAAGGAGATGGAATTTAATCATATATATTTTTGTTATGAACGACAAATTTACCTTTGTACTGATGTTACAACAATTAGATGAGGTCACATACAATATGCCAATAAAGACATATGACAACTACTACACATACTATAAAAGATTATGGAAGAAATTGAGAAAGAGAAAGACACCTGTCATTATGATGATTATGAC